CACACACTTAACCACTACACCAAAAGGCACAAACTTATATAGTATTCAGGCTTCAGATCATTTGCATAGACATGTGCTCCTAGAGTAAGTAGCTTTGCAATCCCACACCAATTTCTTCTTAAATTTGACTCACAAAGTGACTGCTGTTGAATGTGGTTATTCATTTGTGGATTATAAACCAACAAGTTGCGACCTTAAGAAAAATCTCACGGGTGAAAGGGAGGGAATTTGCTTCAGATGACAGGCACCCTTTGATGCAAATGTTCAAACTCAACAGACAGTAAGGGACTGAGATAGAGGTGTCGCCCCCTCCCCCGAATGTGTGCCCCATCTATTCTTTGTGTATTGAAACTAATATTTACATGCAATTTGGACATTTGCAAGTAGACACAATTTGTGCAATGTGTACATTCTGAATTTATACAGATGATAACAATGTACAAAGGAAATTTATGCACAAAGAAAATTTTCTGTGCATTTAGGCCCTTAGAACCAAGTATTGAGGGCTGAGCCTGTAAACTGGAGCAGGGAAGGATGGAACAATCCCAACCATTCCCACACACTGAATCTGATTGTGTGCAAAAAGCTAAAGATTTAAGTTCGGGGGGGGGAGAGGAATCAGGCAGCAGACAGTCAGGAGCAATGTGTTCTGGGGCTAGAAAGCAATGTCTCAGATTAGGTAAGCCAATGGGAACATTCACCAGAAAGATTGATCATATAACAGCCACTTACATGTGTATGCTGTAAACTGTTTTGGAAGACAAAGGGCAATTAAACGATGTGATTTCAAGCCAGGGGAAATCTACTAGTTGTAGAAATATAAAATATGTCCCGCTGTCTTGTTTACAAAGCACTAACAAGGGGCATTTTACTTACCTCACCCAATACAAGCCTCTGAGAACCAGTTCCTGGCACTGCAGAAGTGACCTTGCTACCCTCACGGTGTAGTAAGTTGCACTCACAACATCCTGGTGTATAAATGAAAAAGGGGATGTGACTGTGCTGTAGGCTACAGATGCCAATTCAAGAGCAGCTGGATGGCTGGGTTGGGAAGGGCTGTGGCTCACGGACAGAGCACATGCATTGCATGTCTCCAGTTAAAGACTGTCAGACAGCAGAGCTTGGGAAAGACTCCTATCTGCCTGAGACCTTGGAGAGGTGAACTGACAGAGTTCACCCGGAGAAAAGGGCCACTTTGGAAGGTGGACTCTATGGCATTATACCCCATTGTAGTCCCTCCCCTCTCCTAACCCCGCCCTCCTCAGGCTCCACCCTCAAAATCTCCAGGTATTTCCCAACGCAGAGCTGGCAGACGATACTGGCTACATAAATCAATGGTCTGATTTGATACAAGGCAGCATCATGCATCCATATGTTGGTATTTTAGCCTGCTGACTTTCCTGCAATCAGCCTTAAAAAAAAAAAGATGTGCATGATCCAGATCAAACATACACACAGTGAACAGAAAGAAAGGGAATAAAGGATGAGGAAAAATATGTCTGATACCGCTGCTATTTAAACCAGAAATGTTTTTGCTTAATATTATGCCTGAGGTAAAAGATAAGAAAGTTAAGCACTTAATTATACATATAGTTATGGCAGCAAGAATTTTTTATGATATGTATTGGAAGAAATCAGAGATACCAACAAAAGAGGAACTCTTGACAAAAAATTTTAAAACAACGGAAATGGATATATTGACGAAGTAAACAAAGTAAACAAAATGTGAGAGAAGATTGGACATTATTTTATGAATGGGTAAAAAGAAGCCATGGAAAAGGAAAATCATGAATGATGGATTACAACTATTATAAACCTGGGAGAAACTTAACTTGAACTGTAAAGAATATGTACTTTTTCAGGAATTATAATAGAAGACTTTAAGGATTTGATTAAGTGTGATTAGAAATTATATAAATGAAAAAGTACTGGAAGCAAAGGTTTAAGATGAAAATTGTTTTGTAACAGCTATTATATGTCTGATGGAAACCTTTTTCCATATGTCTTATCCCATTCCCCTTGTCCTCCCCCTCCTAAATGTCCTATATAGTAGGGAAATATATATATATATATAAAAAGGATGGGAAGCCTGCAATGAAAGTGTGACTAAAGATGGAAGGAGAATGCTAGACTGGAAGGGACTGGCAATGTGGAAAATTCCCTCCTGTTCCCTACCTGAGAACAGACATATAAACCCATAGCAGAGGAAACTGTATGAGCAGCTATCTTACAAGGGAATTTCAAAGGGAGATTAGAAGGAGAGACTGCTGAATTGCAACTGATAATGATGCTCAAGACAATGCATCCATCTGGACTGGACTGAGACCTAGGTTTCCTGTCTCATTACCAATGCTGATTTCTCCACACCTGCTACCTCTCTGCGTATCACACCTAATTCAATCACACCTGCTGTGGTCATTTGCCTGCTAATATCATTTGCCATCTGAAATAACTCCACTTTCCAATATATAGGACAGAGAGACTCACATTCTAGCTGTATCTGAAGAAGTGAGCAGTGACTCACAAAACCTCATACCCTGTGACAAATTGTTTTAGTCTTTAAGGTGCTACTGGACATAGTCTTTTCTATTGCTACAGACAAACATGGCTACCCACTTGATGTATGAGCATGAGTGAATGACAATTATGGAGGGAAGAAAGAGTAGGAAAGAAAATAATTCCTGCTTTGGGGATACTTGTTCTTTCAACGTAAAATAGCTAAATTCACATCCAGAGAAAATGTATCTCAGAATACCAGAGGAAGGTGGTTGTACTTTGCTGTCTTGCTTTGAAACTTTCCAGGGAGTTCTGATTAGTCACTACTGCAAACAGAACACTGGAACAGGTAAGCCTTTGGTCTGATCCAGCAAGCAGCTTAACTTCTACCTATCCTCAAAGGTAAGAGGTGCCTACATGAGGGACTAGATCTATTTAGGCAATGTTTTCCACTCCCCTCTTGTCAAGTGACTCAACCACGCTCAGCTCAGCTTCTGACCACAAACTTTGGCTCCAAACCCTATGAACAAGCTCTTGCTGAACCAAGATATATCAGTGTGATGACATGAAAAGGAGGAAAAGCACTTCCCTAACCAACCTGTGCCCTTCTCTATAGCCACCTTCAGTCCATCATAGGAGAAAGGGAGGGTAAAAATGATCTAAATAAATAAATTTTTGAGTTCTGACCATTAAGAACTGGACACTGGACATAAATCTTTGACTGTCTCCATATTGTCCAGGTGAAAAACAAATAGGTAGAAACCTTACCCGAACGGTTCCTGGCCATTTTCAGCTGGAAACCAAATTTACCTTTGCTGTACTGCAATCTGCTAAGACATCGACTTGGGGGAGAAACTTTGGGTACTCTAAAGCCGCTA